CCAGAGAAACCCCCGGATCCCCCCGCTGACATGACCTCTGTGGGCAAACCTCCACCCGCCCCACTCCTGCTAAACAGGGGACAATAGATTTAAGAGCAACAGGACTCAGAGCTGCTGAATCTTTGATTTTATTTAATTTTTGCTGTGTTTTACTCGCATCTATTTGAAGGAGTGCGTGCAAACACAAAACATTTTATTTTATATGATGGATTATGCAGGAAATAGGTTTAAATAGTAAAGAAGTCACAGACAGTTACATATAATTTAATTTTTGCTTGATGCATAAAGTTAAAAGATTAAAACTAATGAAACAAGTTTTAAAAAGAGACTTTTTCAATTGATTACATTTTATATGATGGATGCAGAAAAAATAGAACTGGGCTGAAAGGTCTGTTGTTTTATTACGTATTCAAGCTGTGTATCAAGTAACAGGATTACGTTTTTGGAGAAGTAATCAGTAATTAGTTACTAATGACTTTTTTCAAGTAACTTGACCAGCACTGCTCAGCACACAGAGTCTGCTCTATAACCTACAAGGTCTGGCACTTCATGGATGAGTTGCCGTAGTTCCTAAACAGCTGCACTTTGCAGCAGTAGCACCTACAGCTGATGGCGGGAAATCTACCAGCGAAGAAATGTCACAAACCGACCTGCGGCAACAATTTCATCCCATTACAGTCTCGCACTGAAATTCAGTGAGATCTTCAGAACGACGCATGAAGACAGACTGCGTGGGTCAATGCTGGACTTTATACACCTGTAGCAATGGGAACGCACGCACCTGAATTCAAAGATTAAAAGGTAGAGCTCAGGACTTTTGCCCATGTAATGCAGCGGTCCCCGGCGCCGGTCCACGAGTCGTCGAGTTCATGCTCGGCTGTGAAATTTATGCTTTTCAGGGTTTGTATCGTTAACTCGCTGTCTTATTTTGCAAGAAATATCTCCGAGTTGTAGCGGCCGGAAAGCATTAAGGAGCAGAGAGGAGGATGTTACTCTTAATGTTGTTGGCGCATTTTCAGGAGGATGCTGCTAATAAAGTTCCACAATTACACAGTAATTTATTATTATATTAACAAAATAACGTTTTTGTCTCGGTCGTATCATTTTATTTTGTTGTATTTATCTGCGACACCTTAAAGGCCTTTATTTATGTGGTGTTATAAGCAATGTGTGAATTTGGTGATAGGTTTTGGTGCAGTTGTCATGGTCCGTGGTCCTGTGTGTGGAATGTGTGATGCACGGGTAGCCACACCCCCAGGCTGGGCCATCACCGGCACACCTGCTCTCCATCGGGGTGATTACCTGAAGAGCTACTTAACCCGGCGCTGACGGATGCTCCACGCCAGTGCGTTAATCACCTCTCTGTGGTAACTAGACTCCCGCGAAAGCGTTCCATTCCTATCTTGTTGGAGCTGCGTTAAATCTGCCTACTTGTGTCTAGGTTTCAATCCGGCGTTCAGCGTCTGCCACCTGCCTGTCCTCCTGCTCAATTGGATCACCCGGTACATCATCTGGCCCATCCACTACGGACTTGCCTCCCGAGCTCCCACGGTCCCGCTCTAATCCCTCCCACGGCCCCGATTCCGGCTTCCTCGCGTCATTGTTTCCCCGGGTTTTTCAGTTCCTCGTTTTGCTCCTTTGGTTTTCCCGGGTCGCCTTTTGTTGTTATAATAAAGTGTCATTTTCTGCTAGCGCTTGAGTCAGCGTTTGGATCCTTTGGTGCACGCGCGCCGCGGCGCATGACAGCAGTACCATATTGCCCTGTGTCAGTTCTACTATATAACTACAATGGGAAACAGCCATGATCTTATAGTGATGCACAATGGTTGTTTTAATAGCAGAGTACAATCTTTAATAGTAACATTGTAATAATTAAAACTCCCTCTCTTTAAAAAGCAGCTTAAATATTTGTTAATATCTCGACAGAGACAACAAACAGTTTGTATTCGCTGTATCTACTGTCAACTATTGTCGACTCCTCTGCGCATTTTGCATATTGATATTTTTGTTCATTACTTTTATCCAATAAAAGTCAACATCCCCTCTTTATGCGTGCTCTTAATATCACCATCAGCTTGAAATCACACTTTAAAAGAACATTCATTTACTGCAATTTGTAATGGAAATTTGCAAAGGCTTTAATTTGTTTTTTTGAGGCAACA